TTATTTAACAGAGTTGCCAGTAAGCACCCCGGGTCATCAGATGATAGGCGCTTGTGTTATTTTTTAATAATTATTTATTTGATAGAGTGACCAGTAAGCACCCTGGGTCATTTGGTGATAGGCGCTTGTGTTATTTATTTAATAGCCTGGCCAGTAAACGTTCTGGGTCATTAGGTGATGGCGCTTGTATTATAAATAATTATTCGTTTAGTAGAGTGGCAAGTAAGTGCCCTGGGTCATTAAGTGATAGGCGCTTGTGTTATTGGACCTTATTTGAATTTCACGCCTCACGTTAGGTACTTTTATTTTTTTATCTAGTGATTTTCCACGTCAGAGATGTTGGATTCCAGAGAATTCCCAAGTCTAACCGGAACTTGATTCCATGACTGTTTGCGCGGTACGCATTACGCTTTTCATGTGACCGTGGCCTTGGGATTAAAAGACAAACTCTCAAATACCATAATAATATACCCATAGACATATAAGAAATATAGACTGCTCGTTTGTATGTACGGCACTGAAGCACGAGTAGAAAAAGACACATCATTTAGCGTGGGTACTTGTCTCTCTCGCACGTGGTCAACAGTAAGGAGGTTGCATCCATAGAGATATGAGGATAAAGTACGCTAGTTATACTAATGTACGTAAGGAGGAGCGATACTATAAAAGAAAAAGATGGCTGTTGAGTGTCTTCTCCGTCTCTTTCTAGCCGAGTGATATGATTGGCTGCTCTAGCTCGATCGGAAATTTAAGATCATAGACATATAAAGAACAGACTGCTTATTAGCAGCCGGGGCAGTGAAGCTCGCGTAGAAAGAGAGAGAAGACGAGGGCAGTCAGTCTTTCTCTCTCGCACACTCGGGGAGTGGGGGCGCGAGGCAGACGGACAGAGAAGGGGCACAGTTGCATATATATGTAAACATATATATGTATGCATGATGTTTGTTTACTCAGTAGCAGACGATGCAGTGCACAGGCGACAGCTGTATTATACGTGCTTTAATTCATTTATGTCAACAAAATAAATATATCTTATTTCTCAAATTACCCCAATGCCTAGATGATAAATGATTTCTAAATAATTTCAAAGAATAATTAAAAATTAAAGTTTTGTATAATTTATTAATGTACACTATTGACCAGAAAACAATGTAATTTTATTATTTTTCATTCTGATTCTTTTTATTTCATCCTTGTATAGCGAGCACTCGTGGTGGATACGTAAATTGAAGAACTCATTCAATATAATCTTCATAAGTTGTGTTCTATGATCAAACATTGCTAGCTGATCATGTATGTGATCTCCATCATTAAAAAGTGTTCTTGGCAGTTGTCTAAAATATTTACTAATCAGAAAATCTATGATCTTTTTTTCTGTAAACAGATTATTCTTATACATTCTTAGAACCCTTTCAACTGTCTTACAGATAGTGTTAAAAAAATCATCTGAAGAGAAATGGTCGCTGCATATTACAGCACCACTGTATAGCAAGATTCTCGACCAACACTTTGTAACCATTCTTTTTTCCTTTGTTCATCTTTTGGAATCCTCGAAAATTAAGTTTTTATTTTCAGTAGCATCTTATAAAATACCTAATTCTTGAAGTCATCGGAAGACTTCAAATAACTTACTTATGAAAAGATCGGTTGCTATTAGCTGAACTTTGCTCTGCTGCACATACTATACATAATTTTACCATTGTACAAAATAATTAACTTGCTTCCAAAATATTTATAATTAAGACTATCCTGAGAATTGCTCAGCTGTATCATGCATCAACCTATATGACCTGCACTGCATCGTCTGCTACTGAGTAAACAAACATCATGCATACATATATATGCAACTGTGCCCCTTCTCCGTGTCTGCCTCGCGCCCCCCTCCCCGAGTGTGCGAGAGAGAAAGACTGACTGCCCTCGTCTTCTCTCTCTTTCTACGCGAGCTTCACTGCCCCGGCTGCTTATAAGCAGTCTATTCTTTATATGTCTATGTGTAAGCTTGGCTACCGAGCTCACAAGATTCAGCCAAGGTAGGCTGCCACGGTCGGGCCAACATCAAGTTTTTGGAATATGAAACGCGGCGTGAGGTTGGCGCTAGCTAAGGAGCTAAGTTTTGTACGTTTTGTCTCACTTTCTCTTATACGTATTTGCATACATACATACACTCAAGGCACTTTATATCTATCGGAACAATATGTCTACACACGTACAATGATGTCCCGTAACCCACAATATAACAAAGACATACTGTCACTTTACAGGTAATATTTTTCATCGTTGTGACAAATATAGTGACTGAAGGTGGCTCCTCACTAAATTAAAACACTGGAGTAATAAATGATATTTTAAAGGATGATTCTTGAAGGTGCAAGGAGTCATTTCCTAAAATTTTAGACCTCGTCACCACCAAAATTGTTGAAAAAAACTAACTGGAAAATAGACTCTGTAACATAGCCTCTTATGGAGGGTCGTCAAATTGATGGCGCAGGTTGTATGATATCTCAGCAAAGATACTGTAGTTCTTAATAGAAAACTATGTAGCAGATAGAAGAAATCAGAATCTTTCCAACGACATTCAGGTACTTGGACATTACCATGGGTTTTATAGGATATTTTGTGAAAATAGTAGATAACTGTGCAAGTCACGGAACAGATGAAAAGTGTGGGGCGTCTGCTACACCGAAGAGCGGTAGCCCGCGTAGTTTGAATTGGTCAGAAAGTTGTACGTAAAATGAATAGGAGTTGTGGGGAATCGTAATTATAATAAAAATAAATGAGACGCTGAACTAAGAAAATAATTTAATGCGGGGCTGACTTATGTACTTTTTTGACTAATAGATAAAATTAATAGAATATATCACGATAAAGTTTTTTGTTAGGTACTTATCGTCAGCTTATTATTTACATACAAGGGTTATGTTGTCAGATTTGTATACATACGTCTGCTCGGGTCACTGTATTGTACGATACAGGTCAACGGTATAGATGTGACTAAACTTTTTTTGAAGGGACTATAGGTACCTATTCATTTTTAGTCAAGAACCTCCACAGCCAATGAAAAGCTGTGTTGCGGTATGCTTACTCTTCTTGTGGGAATGCATTATAAAATGACATAACCCAATTATGGAAAGTTGTTAAACTTTTAAAAATGGTTTTGTCTGTTATTGGAACTGTCTTTCTACGTTCCAAGGAGTGAGACGGAAGAAAAGCGGCTAGAGATAGTACCGAACATTTTAATGTAGCTGAAATTAGTTAACAATTACATAAACTTACAATATTTAATACAATGAAATAACATAATCCGTTCACTATTTTAGTAAAAAAAAAAAAAAAAAAATTACTGTAGTTTGGTAGTACAGTAGTTGTTTATTTTTTTATGCCTTTTTAGAGTTATATTTCCTGCACTAATTTCTCTACGTTGGCTCCCAACCTAGATCCGAGCTACCTCCACGTTTCATCGATACATAAGACATTATACGAAAGCAAAACTTGTGCCAACGTAGGTTACCTCGGCTGCCAAGGTAGGCCCGAGCTATCGCCGAGCTTATATTTCCGATCGGGAGAGCATCAGTCAATCACAGCGCTTGGGTAGTAAGAGACAGAGGTCACTCAGTGACCATCTTTTTTCTACCGTATCGTTTTATTTAGTCTCTAGCGCACTCCATCCTTATCTCTATGGTTGCATTAATCAGACAAACCCCCTGCGTTGGGAAAGTGCAAGATAGACATACTCACCCTCTATGCTGTGTCTCTACTCGTGCTTCAGTGCCGTACATAAGAATGAGCAGTCTGTACTTCTTATATGTCTACGAATATAACGTCGCACGGTTATACTTGACCAAAAATTCCGATACTTCGATACTGTGGTTATTGGTATCAACGTATCGCTATTTTTTGATACCCATAAGTATCGGTACTGGTATCAACTATTATTACTATGACAAAAGTATCGATATAGTATCGCGGTATCGAATAGTATCGCCAATCACTATTTGGGGCATTGCGGCCGACAATGCAGTGAGTCTGAAATCATCCAGCAAGTCCGTACTTGCGCACAGCAAATAGTAGAGTTGTATAAGTCTGAAAAAGCAGACTATTGGCAAGTCTTATACACAGCATAAGTCTCTGACATTAGAAAACTGTATTAAGGATACACTTGATGCATATTAAAACAAATGTTAACATATCAGTTGATACAAATCAGTATTTAAAAAAGCACGTATGATACCTGTTTTAAAACTTGGGTGTTTTTTTTTCAACAAGCCTCTGATGGTTAAAATGACGGGCAGCATAGTTGGATGAGCCAAGATTGTGTCATAAGAATGAACTGATATTTCTCCATTCTAGAAGTCACCAGCCCATATTTAATTATCAATATCGAACTTTCTGTAGCTAATTTATATACAACATTAAAGTCTTTAAAAAATTAACTTACTACAATGAGTTTCACAACATCCTCTCCTCCAGCAAGAGCAGCCCCTGCAGCTAAAGCCTCAGCCACTTGCTCCTCAGTTTTACAAAACACCAATATTTTTCTATCTTCCCCATGATCAAACGTATGAGTTACAGGAACTATCTTATGAAAGGCTTCAACTGGCTTGTTTTTTTTTACTCCCTTAGATAAAAAAGATACATATAATTACAAGTGTTCACATACATTTAATGAAGAAAATTTAAGTAACAAACCTCAAAGTTAAGCTCTGCAAAGATTAGAACCATTGATTTCGGTCCGTTTAATATTGTGGGATGAAGTAATTCTCTGTGACAATTTAAGGCTTCCTCAAAGGAGTACTTTTTAACCGCATAATACTTTGTAAAGTATACATTATCACTAGCTTCCGGCAAAAAATGATCTCCAAAGCGTAAGGCAGCAGGCTTAACAATGATACTGTGAACGAATTGTCATTAGTTTAATCAGACTGACTTTGGTTATGTCACATTGAATAAAGTTATAACAAAATCAGCTAACTCTTTTTTCGACCGCCGAATTTTGTCAGCTAGGGTGAGCTTGACCACCTCTTTCTTGATCTTATTTCTCCTTGCTTTTTCTCTTGTTCCTCTTCTAGCTGCATACTGTCTTACCTGCGATTGAAGATATCCAGCACTGTTACTTGATAAAAAACTAGTACCAAAAAACGTGATGCGCGTAGTACTAAAACCACCTAAAAAAATCTCTGTAACCGATAAAAAAATTGTTAATGAGAAACTGTTTTCTAAAAATAATAATTTTCTGATAACACTTCATAGAGAAACAAGAAAATCGAAAAATTTTCCTCGTTTGAGATTAGAAAAATTTTCTGATTACGTATTGAGAACTAACTGATGCATATGATTTTTTTTATTTTAAAAATTTAACCTTACAAGGGCATTACACAAAAATTATGTACAAATACCTCGTAAGGCTGCCATTACCACCCATGCGACTTGAAGGCTTTTTTTTAATGACCACGACTGAGGCCGTGGGCACATGGAGAGCGTAACGCGTACCGCGTAACCGTTTGAGCCCATGAGAGTGAGAGAGAGATAAAGTGCGCTAACCTCTCTCTCACTCTTATGGGCTCAAATGGTTACGCGGTACGCGTTAAGGCCTACGCAGTCAAAGTAACATAAGGTGCACAGTGCACAGTGCACAAGAATAACATTGGTTGGTATATATATATATCTGTAAAAACGTAAAGCACAACGCGTTGTGCATTGTGTATGTAGGTGTTTCAACCAATGTTATTCTTGTGCACTGTGCACTGTGCACTGTGCACCTTATGTCAATTTCACGTGCGTAGGCCTTTACGCTCCTCCATGTAACCGAGGCCTTAGGGTGCAGTCCCATCGTAAGGCTGCAGTCCCGTGGTACGAAATAGAGCTCCACAGTAGACTGTCCGCAATGGAAGCAGCCAAGAGGCAATAGCTCTCATTGGCTGTTTGTATTACGGACAGTCTATTGCGGAGCTCTATTTTGTACCATGAGACTGCAGCCTAAAAAATAGAGCTCCGCAACCGCAATAGACTGTCCGCAATAGAAACAGCTAATCAGAGCTATTGCGGACGTTTTTATTTCGGAGAGGCAAAGTTCGCTATGGTTCCAAGTGAAAGAAAGACCGATGCGTAACCCATGTAGGCTCGTGAGTGCAAGTGAGAGGTTCGAAGTATCTCTTTCTCACTCGCACTCACAGGCGAGGAAGAGTTACGCATGGGTCGTTCCTGCATATGTGACCATATCGAACTTTGTCTCTCCGAAATAGAATAACATAACTAACTAATCAACGGTGATTATTTGTTTTGTTGGTATGTTTTGGAGCTCAGTGTGAAATGACTGACATTTTCTTTGGGAAGCATCCAATTACAATGCTTGCATTTATAATACTAAAATAAAAACTTAAGTGAACTACACGAAAAATAAGTTATCAAAATTCAAGGCAAGAAGAATACAACTTACGCTTTTACATTATGCTGCATTATTGTTAGGAGCTCCACTCATTTTATTTTAGATATGTCCCGCAACAGCTCGATCGTCCGCAATAGCTCGAATGTCCGCAATAGCTCTGATTGGCTGTTTCTATTGCGGAGCTCTATTTCGTACCATGGGACTGCACCCTAAGGGCCTATCTATGCAGCAAGATTAACATAACGCACAATGCACAGCACACAAGGATAACCTGAGCTGGTATATCGTATAGACCGTGAGGCGAGCTTGAAAAAGCGTATCATATGAAACCACTTGGAACTTTATTTTTAGTTAGTTAATAGTGTAAGACACAATAAGGGAGATTGCCAGCGCCTATGGTAGAGTGTGTCGCTTTTTTTTCCACTGATTTGAGCGTCCCGTCGCGGCAGACCAGTCGAACTATACGCACGTTTACAGCAGCGGAGGGGAAGATCAAACGTGCGTACGATAGCCTATCGTCGATAGGTACCTAGTAGAAGGGGAAGGAATATGTGCGTACACATGTGTATAACTATATACGTTTTGGCTGCCTCCTGCCTGAGCTCTCGAGTCGAGTCCCTCGGCTCTCGGCTATCGCTGCAGCTCTCGCATGCACGTATATACCTATATATGTTTCCGATGCGCTGTATTCCCTCAAAAAAGATTTTGTTATGAATGTTGGACAGTTAAGTATGTTATTATGTCCGGTAATAAATTACTCGTTAAATAGGTAAGTATTAAAAATATTTGTACAGCTAAATATCGCTTAATACTGAGTTTTTTCTCGTTTAAAGTGACAAATCGAGTAATGATTACGTGAGTCCCGATATTTAATGTAAGTTCTCGGAACTTCTCAATAAAATTATTATTTTTACAACTCGCATAATGTATGTTATTATAGGTACACAAAAAAAAAATT